GTGGTAAATATATTTTCAAGGTCTGATGAATTGATCATTTTATTTTTCCAATGGAATAAATTATGACCATGGAATATTAGTGTTTAAGCCTTTTTATTATATATATATATATATATATATATATATATATATATATAGCAGGGTCATAATCTAGAAAGCATTACAAAATAAATTTTGAATTACATCATTTCATCAGATTCTGAAACTTTTCAGCACCATGTGTGTGTGTACTCACACACATTCCCATTATAATGGAAATCTACACAATGAAACTTAATACATTTAATAAGTATCATGATGTATGTTAGATTTTATGATCATAATTTCATAAAGCTATTTAATATTGATATAATTCCACTCCAATTGAAATAAAACAGTAATACAATCCTTGTATGTATTTAGAATAAAATAAGTTATTTTTTTTTTTTTTTATGACAAATTTTCTGTCAAGGTAATATAAAGTTTAAGAATATTATGAAAAAAGAATGATAATAAAGTTGTGTTTGCAATATGATAGCAACCAGAAAATGTCTAATATTTTCTAAATTACACCATTTAAAACACTCTGGGCGACTGACTTCACATTTCTTAACCAAAAGGGGGTGGAAAAAATAACGTATGCAATATTTAGCATATGATAGTTCCTTACAAATATAAAAAGCTATAAAGTATTGGGTTGCTCACCCAAGGTTCTTTTAATAAAATATAAAAGAAAAAAGGCCTCACTTATAACCAAAATTAAAGCATGAATAACTAGTTTTATCTGCACTGTGTCAATGACAGCCACATTGTGATTATTTTATAGTATATAGATATATTGTCAAAGTTGGAAGATATATATATATATATATATATATATATATATATATATATATATATATATATATATGAATGTCATTTGCCTTGATAAAATCCCTCAGAGGACAAAACGTGTTACTTAAGAATAATTTTTCCCTTGTGTCTTTTTATTCATTTTGTTCCTTCACTGATACACTAGAGGGGCTTATTCCAGTTTGTAAAATTTTTTCATTTTCCTTTTATTTTCTTGTTTTAATAATATTTATATACTAGTGTACCTGTGCCATCAAAATTGACAACAAGAAGGAATGTATTAAAAGTAATATGTGTTATATCTTAAGTAATTTTCATTCAATGAATCCAAGTACAATTTTGTAATATAAACAGTTTGTTTTTAACGTTAATAATTGAACAGTGTAAAACCGATAAACACCTCCGGTAAGATATCTGTATTTTATCCTCATTGTGTACACTCACTTTTGTGACACACGTTGGGTGTTCTGGAAATTTGCTGAGAAATTAAAACATTATCACTAGAGATAGTTGATCACAGAATCCAAGATACCTCAAAGAAAAGTAAGTTTATGGGAATTTTAATTCAAGCTGAAATAAAATATGAACCTTGGCCAAGTTTTGTCTGACATATTTATCTCCTCTCTCTCTCTCTCTCTCTTTTTATCCCCCACGCTTTTTCTCTTTTTTTCTTTCTTTCATTCTTACTTTTCATTACTCCTTTCACTTTGATCATAAGTCACAGAGTTTGTCAACACAGTAGCTTTTTGCATGTGGACATGAATGGGGTCATGACTTGTGTGTGGCTCATGCTAAAATTTCGTACATTGCCCCTCAATTGTTATACACAAAAAATTTATATATATATATATATATATATATAAAATGGACACTCCTGTCAGTTTCAGTATATAAGGATTTGACAACTTAACCAATTGATTTAGTTATGAATTTTGTGCGATAATCTTAAATGGCACTTAAGATCTGCTATTGATTTGCAAAGGAAGCCGCATATAGAGCAAGAGTGAAGATTATGGGATGAGGTCTCTGTTAGACTGGCTGACCTTTTAGATCTTGCTCTCCCTTCTTGAAGGGTGATTCAGACTAGCAGAGTGAAAACTGCTGAGTCCACTAAAACATGTTGATTTCAACTCTACCTGCTGCAAAGCTAAGTGCTCGAGGGTGTTATGAAGTATATTGACAACTGACAAAATATATATGTGTGTGTGTGTGTGTGTGTGTCTGTCTGAAAATGGAATTCCCTAAAATATGAAAGAGAATTAAGGAAAATTATAAACGGAAAATTGGTCACTCTCATACAGTATCTAAAAATAAGATTTATGCCCTTGTTCGCAGCTTTTATAATCAAAAAAATAAAGAGAAAGTATTCTACCATCTATTTAGGATTTGCATTGCCCAACACCTCCAATTGCTACAAAACCAAAACATTAATCTGAAAACCTGAGTCATATTCTGAAATAGCCTTGTCAAAGGTATAAATCCACCTCTTCTACTCACCCCCTAGCTATGGGTTAATTAGCAGAACTTATATCAGTAAAAATCATTATATCCAAACATTCTTACAATCTAAAAATATTTTCTGGCTTTAAATAACCTGTAAATGGTTGATAAACCATAGAAAATAATCAAGCAAGTGTTCTAAGAAATACGACTCAAGATAAAACAAACTATGATCCGGAATTGGAATGTAAACAGTGATGACGTATACTATGAATCTATTATAAACATTCAGGAGGTGGAATTAGTACTTCAGATACCTTGGTGCATAGAGCAGTTATAACAAATTTAGTAACTGAGAGAAGGAAATTGAACATAGAATTGGTTGCACCAGAGTTAGTGTTGCTGAACACCTTCAACTGCTACAAAACTAAAGCATCAACCTGAAAATTCATGTTTTAAATAGTCTTGTCAGATCACAACTTCCATATGGATATCATGCATGGCATCAAATCTGTTCAGAAATATCTAAACTGTCAGCCACATACAACCCCTTTTTCAGATCAATGGTTAGAAATGGCTTTCAGCAAATGAAGCTTGTAGGTCTTAGTAAGGATTCTTCTTCTTTGAATCTTGTAAACTGGTGCCACTGAATCACAATCAAAGAACAGTACCAACAGAAACAACATGACTTGAAGACTTTCAACAGCAGCAACAACTAAAATGGATAGCACATATAACTTTAAGGGAAAAATAATGATATAATCAAGAAGTTGATGTTACATACTACTTCAAACAAAAAGACCCCCTCTCACTCAATACTGGAAAGAGCAATAACAGTAGATTTCAGAAACATACTGGTCTAGCTGAGTGAATTGACATGCTCGGGAAAGGCATGTACTTCAAAAATGCACCTATATAAAACAATAATGAAAGTAGTCCAATTGATCACAGCAAATAAACTCATTAAAAATTTAAATATTTCTGCACAATTGCTGAAAATATCCTATTATAATTGTTTGTCCCTCCCTTCATTAGTTCGCACGACCGTTATGCCCTGCCAATACTTCATAAATAATGGACTATTCCATTTTGATCTTGTGGAAAGAGGGAAAAAGACACTACTTGGTTTCAGTGAGAAATTGAAAGACAGAAAGGAAAGAAAAATAGAAGTGGAGAGAGAAATCAGATTAAGCTAATAAGATTGGGTTTTTTTTTTTTACAGCGTATCAACCTCAATGGGCTATTTAATGCCAACAAGATTTTTATTGCTGGTAATATTTTTTATCTATATATATATATATTGGTTTGGTTTGTTGTAAGGCATATCAACCTCAATGGGTTATTTAATGCTGATCAAGATTTTTATTGCTGGTAATATTGCTGGTAAGAAGATGGTAAATGTATTGCTGGTATGAAAATCTATTTTTACACTTTCATAGTGTTTTGACCTCAATTTGGTGGTTAGTATATTGCTAGTAATAATTATAAAATTGTATTGCTGATAATATTTTTTTCCTTCAAAAATGTATTGTTGATAATATATTTTCCTCAAAATATTCATTGCTGGTGTTAAAACCTATTTTTACACTTTTACAGTGCTTTGACATTAGTTTAGGAGTTAACTATATGTCCATAGTTGGGACCCTAACAGGTGCTACCACTTCGGGTCAGAGTGGACCTGGGAACACCAGCAATTAAGACGTGGTTCCACACTCCTCAAAACCTCCTGATCAGAGGCCTTGCTGTTGGACGTAGTTTATCGTCTTACCCAGGATACAGATGTAGTTTATCGTCATACCCAGGACAAAGAAGGAGGATCGGTAGTAATGCTGATTGTCCCTCTTTAGTGTAACAAGGGAGGTACTGTTGTAGACAGCTGTTTCCTGAGACAAGGCTCCTCTCAGTAATATTTTCAGTTGTGCTCTGTCCACAGCCAGCAGCAAAAATGAAGAATCCAAAGACAGAGAGACAACTGAGAGATGAAATGTAGTTTATCTACGCGAGGGCAGATAACACACTTCGATCCCAACCAAAAAGCCGAAAAGCGAGGACAACCCAACTGCGATAAAAGTGCCATTTTTCAGACACACAGTATCAAATGATACAAGTAAGATAACTGCCAAAATTTCAGTTACCATAAATAAAATATCTTCATCTGCTGAATTATTTTAAGATTATTATTAAGAGAAATGTTCTTAAGACATGGATTTGGTTAGTATTAAGAAATTGCTTACTTTGGAAAACTGAATAAAAGGTGACATTAGTAGGTCACAAGTATTGTAATATTATTTTCAAGGAAATGATAAAAATTTTGGTTGTCAAACAAAGGTTTACCAACAAGTAGTGTGTCTGATTGTAAGAAAAGAAAAAAGCAAACAACTAACTCTGTATGCACGCCTCTCCTCAACATTTTGAGGTATTTCAACAAAAAGAGATAAGTGGGGTCACTTTGGCCAAATCATTAATAAACAGACCAAGAGATAACTCCTGTGAAATGATTTGACCCAAAGAATTTTGCTGAAAAGCAAAATGAGGTGGGGTAAAAACAAAATCAATAAAACGAAAAAAATTTAAAAAAAGAAAAAAGCGGCAGTGAAAATAGCAACATTGGCTAGAGTGAGGGTGGAGGCAGGGTCAGTAATGTTTGCATTGAGGGTCGAAGGTGGGGGAAGTGAAGTTTAAATGCATGGCAGTATGTGGGGGGGTGGTCATGGTTAGCGAACAGATGGTCACCTCTCATCCTGTTCTTGGGAGCCTGATTTGCGGGCTGGATGTGTGTCCCACTTGCCAGAGGTGGGTGCTTGCTTCGGTTGGCACGACCGTGAGCGGTGAACGCTTTGATTCCTGAAAGAAACAGTCGCAGAGAGTTGTGCAATGATACATGCAACATGCAGCTAACAGGTTACACACACAAGCAAGAATACAAACACACATTTCTTTACACATACTTTTATTCTCATCTAGGCATACACATGCATACATAAAAATACGTTCTCACACACTTATCTGCTCTCTATGCATCCATAAGTGCATTTTATATACACACACTTACACAGTTTTGTGCATACATGCATACACACATCCATGCATACATGTCCTTCCTCGCACACATGCATAAACACAGACCTTCATTTTTACATGTCCTTCCTTGAAACACATGCACACACACATCCTTCCTTGCATACATGTCCTTCCTTGAACACATGCACACACACATCCTTCCTCGCACACATGTCCTTCCTTGAACACATGCACACACACATCCTTCCTCGCACACATGTCCTTCCTTGAACACATGCACATACACATCCTTCCTCGCACACATGTCCTTCCTTGAACACATGCACATCCTTCCTCGCACACATAACAAAACACGTCCTTCCTCGCATATATTCACACACACACACGTCCTTTCTCGCATACATGCATACACATCCTTTCTCACACACACAGGCACACATACATGCGCACATTCTTCCTAACATACACTTATATACTCTCCATGCATCCACAAATGTTTTTCTCCCATACAGACTTCTTCACATACACTATTTGCTCCTATGCATACAAAAACACACAGACACATATACATTCTTCCTCACATACATTATTATACATATTTTCACACATGCACCTATTCTTCACATATGCTCTTACAGGCTCACCCATCTATGCACAGATACATTTTTACACACACACAAAGGTGTACCGAAAGCTTTCATAAAACAAATAAGAGAGACAGATACCAATAAGCAAAAGAAGTGAAGAAAATTTCATTGGTAACAATTGCAATCAAAAGTTTGGAGGAATTGATTACAATAGAGACCAAAAGCATCTTCCACATGGAATAAGCGGGCAAGCTCGTCTTATTGGTAGATTTGAAGTTCAATGGTGATTTATTACCGATAGATATTTGGCAGTATGAATTAAGTGATGCAAGTAAAACAGAGCTAAGTTGGGATTGAACCTCAATCATTGCAAGCAACCTTAGTAATACCTGCTGCATATCCTGCATGCATATTCAATGATTTTCCTGCACTGAAAAGACATTGATTTGTCATCAAGTAATTATATCTTTTATGTTTCTATGCTGATGAAAGGCCTGTAATATTTATGTGGGATGTTCCAAAAGTAATACCTCCAATATATTCCCAGGAAAACTACTAGAGATGCAGGGTGCACAAGAACACTGTTGGATATAGTGCAAGTTCTCAGTTACCAAACTTCAGCTCCACTTTTTTTGACAACAGCAATAACATTATCTGTCTATAATTCTGAGATGAGGTAATTATTTACATTGTTCGGACTGTTATCCTCATCTTTATTGCAATATTCACGACGTTTTGGCCGTTGTACGCTCCGGCCTTCTTCGGGATTTTTCTGTATTTCTGAGATGAGGTATTGTAATTATTTACATTGTTCAGACTGTTGTCCTCATCTTTATTGTCATATTCACAACATGTGAAGGAAACATGACCCAGTGGATAAAAACGTTGGTTGGATCTCGTGACTTAACCCAAACGGTTATGAGTTCAATACTTGGCTACTGCAGTGGTGAACAAAAACGTGGAGAGTTGAGTTAAGGGGAGATAACCAAGACATTTGGAAGAGGTACATGGAACTAGATCAATCTACCCTAGTGGACGAAATAAAGGGTTTAGTTTGAAATTCAAATTACCTGAAGAAGGGTGGACCATACAAAGGCCAAAACGTTGTGAATATGGCAATAAAGCTAAGGAGGACAGTCTGAATAATGTAAATAATTGCAATAACATTGTCAGGAAAATGTTACCCCCATGTTGAAACATGGCTTGTCACATACATCACTGTATCCACTGCTGAAGCGTATTTTCAACCAACCGTGTTAACATGCACAAATTCATTTCCACAAATTTTCAGCAGGTGTACTTATTTTCTATATAGAGGAACCCAATAACATACATACCTTCTTGTTATGTCACTAACCCAGATAGCAGATATCAGTTTGTTTGTTTAGTGACATATTAACTCTATATGGGTCATTCAATGCTGAAATTTAATTTTCTTGGGAGTAGTAGTAATTCCTTTTACAAAAATATATTTTTTTTTTAATATGAAAATGTATTGCTGGTATTTTTAAGATAAAACTTCTTTATACTTTCATAATGTTTTGACCTCAGTTTAGGGGTTAACTATTTGCCCATAGCTGAAACCCCAACAGGTGCTACCAGCCTGGATCAGGGTGGGCCTGGGAACACCAGCAATTAAGAGGTGGTTCCACACTCCTCAAAACCTCCCAGGCCTTGCTGCCAGATGTAGTTCATCATCATACCCAGGACAGGCAGATATCTGCAAGAATGGCAACATCTAACTGATTATTGGTAGGAAGGTTTAAACTATTTCTGTAGCACCAACTCCACCTTTATGGGCCAACATAATAAAAAATAGAAGGCATTTCTTTTGGAGCAAGACCCATCATCATGACAACCAGTGTCTTTACTTTAAAAAAAAAAAAAAAAAAAAATTAAGTACTTTTTCATCCATTTTAAAAATGAATTGTTCCATATCCCTAGCTAAGCTTCCCTTAGTAATGAGCAAGAATTCTTTATAGCAAAGATTATAATAAAATGGCTGATGAACCAAGCAATACTCGTATTATTAAATGATCACAATTTTTCTCTACTGAAAAACTAAAATGTGTTTAATTTACTTGTTTGTTGGAAAAAGTAAAAAAAAAAACTGATTCAGGGAAACATGAGTAACCATTTAAATTATTGCATCATAGTTCTAACAATTGTTGCTGGAAATCAAGTTCTATTGAACTTAGTGTACTTAATTTTATAAGACTGTCTCCATGTTTCATAATAGTCATCATTGTTATAGTGGAACACACCTATTCTATAGTTAATAAACTCTCCCACTTATAATAAGTAGGTGTAGGAAGAGTAACAAGTGAAGTCACTCAGTGAGTTGGTCAGTCAGTCGATGTCGGACGACAGTTAGTCGAATACTAAACTATCAGCGACTACAACTAGATTTCCTCTGCGTTATACCTATTATACCAAGTTCCTAACATTTTGTACGTCGAACCTATTTTAGGACCGACTTAGTACAAATACAAGCCTCCACTGTGAAATCACTCCACAACAATCATTAAGCAAGATATAAACACAAATAGTCTATGACATATCCAACCAAATAATACAATTGCAAATATAAGATATTTTTTTTAACTGGATGAGTGGTGCCAAATATGGCACTTTTCTTCTTGAGTTTACCATAATGAATGGAATTAGCCTGAATCAAAGAAAAAAAACTCTAGGAATTGTGTTAAGTTGTAACTATTATGAGACAAAGATTTATCGGCAATGTTTAACTTATGACCAAGCAATAAAAACAAAAAAAAAAACAAATGTTAAAAGGGATGTCGTTCACTTGACACAACTACATGTCCTTGCTAATTTTAATTGTTTTAAAAAGGTATTTTAAAAATATTTATAAAACCACTGCAAATGAAACTGAATACTCAAAAATTGGCTGGTTAATGCATTTTCTACAGCTTATCAACCATTTGCACGCCATCCAAAACCAGAACATGTTTCTAGATTGCAAGAACTTGCTTTCTTTTTTTCCTTTTTTTTTTTGGTATTTGTGCATAAATGAATATGATGAAACCAACAGGAATTGAAACTCAATTCTCTGATTAACAATTCTGAACCATTATCCATCATACCACCAAAGCTTACAGAACATGGTATTCCCATCTAGGTACTGACCAGGCTCGACATTGCTTAACATTGGTGATCATACGGGAATCAGTATTTCAATGTGATGTGGCTTTTTTCTCAAGAATTGATAACAAAAATATTAAACATTATTAATTTATTCAAATGTTTATTTACATTGATTATTAATTTATTCAAATGTTTATTTACATTGATTAATTTATTCAAATGTTTATTTACATTGATTATTAATTTATTCAAATGTTTATTTACATTGATTATTAATTTATTCAAATGTTTATTTACATTGATTATTAATTTATTCAAATGTTTATTTACATTGATTATTAATTTATTCAAATGTTTATTTACATTGATTATTAATTTATCACCTGTAATAAATATTATCTATATGAAAATTAAATTTTTAATATTTTTTAACTTTTGGAGAAAAAAATTAAATTAGGTATTTTTGTACATTTTTCCCCCAAACGATTTTAAAACGAGATGTTCAAAAATTGGTAAAAGCTATGAATCTAATTTTTGGTATATGTACTTATCCTATCAAACTCCAGCTTTTACTCTGAGTACAATGTTGATCTGCTAAAAAAAGTGAAAAATCAACCTTCCCTAATATGGTAATAGTGGCAGCAAAAGAAAAAAGTCTTTTTGACACTGTTATTATGTCTAGGCTTAAGTTATTATGCCTAGGCTTAAGTTATTATGCCTAGGCTTAAGTTAAACTTTGCCAATTTATATTCCGGATTATGGTCTAGACTTGGTTGACCACCAGTCTTGGAGAAGGATTACTCTGAATTCCAAACTGAAGGAAAACACTTCACTATGTTTTGCAAGAAGTCATTTCAGTCCATAGTTAATAAAGTAACAGAATTTGTGGAGAGCCTATAAATTGGAAAAAAAAAAAAAGAAAAAAATTAAGCCTAATGCATCTTGTCTGTTACAGAAAATTCCTGTATTTCTTGTACTGATAAGATATAGTAGTAGTTAGTAGTTTTTTTTAGGTAGTTTGACAAAGCGCATATGTTTGACATGTGTTAATCAAATCACAGTGAAATAAATTTTGTAATAGACTTAATAATTCACCTGTGAGATTTGGAATGAAACATTTAAGTGCCATTT